GAAAGAAAACACAAATCAGTTCTTTTTTTAAGTGCAGATTTACTTTTGTCAAAGTTACACAAGATAACTGGCACTTATTACGCAGGTAACACTGCTCATCTCGCTGCACTTAAGTAACAGCAGTGCTCAGGTCAGGCCTAGCACTTAGACAAGCCATGTGAACATGAAGTGCCTTAAGTGTGAATGTTAATCATACAAACAGCCTTTAACCTCTTGTCTCGCAGGCAAATTGGCATTTGTCCCAGAGCTATAGCACAGATTTATTTCCTCTTACCTGGCGGTTGCCTAGAAAACAAACACTTCTCGAGCGAGTGACTTGTTGGATGGGAACCAGAAGGGTCCTGTTCTCAGCGGGTTCCTGCATATCTTTCCCTGTTCTTCCACTCAGTGTCTCGCTGTTCCCACAGTCACTGTAGTTATCTTCTGTCCACCAGCGAGGAGAGCCTGCTGCTTGGTTCTCTGGTCTGGTTATAACATTAAGTAGCGACAAAAGACTGCAGTAGTTTATTTTGATCCCTATATAAAGGAAGCATTAGAAATTGCGTAGCTTTGCAGTAGCCTGGGAATGTGTTTTTATGCTGATGGACATAAACACATTAGCAGCTTGTAGAAATGACCAGATGGGGAAATCACAGGCTGACAGCTGTATTTATGGGGATGAGATGTGTAAATTAAGTCTCCTTGCAGCTGCTGCTGTGTCGTAGAGGCAGATACCAATATACTCCTCCCACATGCAAATCCAGCACACCTGTGAGAACAGAACAATTGCATGAACTATGAGGGTCAGAAAGCTACAGCATTACTGTCCTACTCTCCTACCTTCACTTATATTCAGTAAAGTCTACAAGCAACAGGAAAGCAGCTACAGTATTAACGGTAAATGACAACAGTCATGCATAGTGTACATGACTGCTCCACCACGACCCACTCACAGAAAGAGCATCTATGGGCTCCCAAGCTCAGGGCACTGCAAGCTTGTACAATAAATGCAAGCATGAGAACAAGATAATATGTTGATTATATTGCAGTGAGGGAGACACTAGCATGATGGTCAGTGCAATCTGTGTTCCCCAAGGGGCTCCCTTCCATAGCTGGCTCCATGTTCCTACCCATGGTCCTAATTGAAATGACATGAACATTGGTTATTCCTTGGAGCCTGCAGCAGCCCCCAGCCTTCTGCATTGCCAAGGGGTACCCACAGAGTACTTCATCCAGTTCATAGTCCTCCCACCCTCTGTCCGGCTCCTTTCCATTTGCTTGTAAAAGACTGATTGCAATTCAGCAGGAGACTATTTTTCTAATGGTCTTGCAAGCTCTGGAATCAGTGTCCCAGCATCAGAAGGAAAAGGGTTTTTACAGAGGCAGCTTGTTAGCACCAGAGAGGAAAGGACAATAACCTATTTCAGGCTGCAAAAACTGGGGCGATCAGGGACTCATTGCCTGCCAGAGCCTTTTTACTTCTCAGTCGTTGCCAGGACATGACAGAGTAACTATTCAGTTCTACTGCACTCTCAGCAAAGATCTGGATTGCAGAGTTGGGCCATGCCTGCAAATTTATCCAGGTTTTGTAGGACTTGCGAAATTTTCCAAATTTTCTACAGTTTCATAAGTTTCTTGCATGGTATAGAACCAGTCAGCTGGGAGTTCCATCCCTGCAGAGCTCGGTGTGCATGCAGCTGGGCTACCGTTTAGAGCAGCTGCAAGCATTTCTGGCATTCCTGCGTCATGGGGGCTACCATGTTAAAGACCAGTGTTCTGCTACATTTTGTATCAGAAACAAAGCATTGTCGTTTATTGTTTTTTCTTTTCTTACCTTTGACTCAGGAAAGGGTCGATTGAACTGTTGCATTCAATGTGAAATGAGTCTGCCCATGGCAGTCTTAATAGCAGCATGAAAGCTCTAGCAGACTGCCTCAGCTGCTTTGAGATGGTAAGATGTGAATAAGAAGTACAGAACCAATATCCTCAGAGATTGAAATGTGGGATGAATACACGTGCACTTCCCAGTTTCTCCCTCCCCTTTTTCCCATCCCTCTGAAACTTTCACATCTCCTCACTGCAAAGGTCTGGCACGTGGAGGGGCCACGTGTGTATATCGGGTGCACCACGCCAGTACTCTGAATGCCCACATAAGCAGCACATCCTGATTCTCTACCAGTCACCTGTGGTTTAAAAGGTTGGTGTGGAAATTCCCTCTGTACTCAACCCTGGTGAGGCTGCACCTCAACTATTGTGTTCAGTTCTGGGCCCCTCACTGCAAGAAAGACATCGAGGCCCTGGAGTGTGTCCAGAGAAGGTCAGTAAAGCTGGTGAGGGATCCAGAGCACAAGTCTTATGGGGAATGGCTAAGGGAACTGGCAGTGTTCCATCCGGAGAAGAGAAGGCTCTCTACAACTACCTGAAGGGAGGTTGTGGTGAGTTGGGGGCTGGCCTTTTCTCCCATGTAACTAGTAATAGGACTAGAGGGAATGGCCTCAAGTTGCACCAGGCGAGATTCACATTGGACATTAGGGAATGCTTCTTCTCTCAGTGAGTGGTCAGGTGCTGGAACGAGCTGCCATCCTCGAGGGGCACTACTGTCTCTATAAGTGTACAAGAAACATTTAGATGTTGTACTGAAGGCCATAGTTTAGTGGGAAATACTGATGATAGATGGACAGTTGGATTGGATGATCTTTGCTAAATGGTGCGGTAGACACATTGGAAGGAAGGGAAGCCATCCAGAGGGTCCTGGGCAGGCTGGAAAATTGGGCCCATGAAAACTTACTGAGGTTCAGTAAGGCCAAGTGCAGGGTGCTGCAGTTGGGTCAGGGCAATCCCAGGTATTTATACAAACTGGAGGAAGATCTCCTTGAGAGCAGCCCGGCGGAGAAGGACTTGGGGGTCCTGGAAGACGAGAAGCTGGACATCAGCCAGCAGTGTGTGACTGCAGCCCGGGAGGCCAGCTGTGTTCTGGGCTGCATTACTAGATGAATGGCCAGCAGGACAGGGAGGTGATTGTCTCCCCATCTGCAGATGTGAGGCCCCATCTGCAGTAATGTGTCCATGCCTGGAGCCCCCAGTACAGGAAGGATGTGGAGAAGAGAAAGCTTAGGGGAGACCTCACTGTGGCCTTCCAGTACTTGAAGGGAGTGTATGAACAGGAAGGGGAGCGGCTGCTAACAAGTGATAGGACAAGGGGGAATGGTTTTAAACTGAGACAGACGGAGGTTTAGGTTAGATATTAGGAGGAAGTTCTTCACACAGAGGGTGGTGACACACTGGAACAGGTTGCCCAAGGAGGCTGTGGATGCCCCATCCCTGGAGGCATTCAAGGCCAGGCTGGATGTGGCTCTGGGCAGCCTGGTCTGCCGGTTGGTGACCCTGCACAGAGCAGGGGGGTTGAAACTAGATGACCATTGTGGTCCTTTTCAACACAGGCCATTCTGTGATTCTACGAGTCTGTGATCTTAGAAGTCTTTTCCAACCTTGATTCTATGGTACTATGATAATCTTGTTCCCCATGAAATGTCTCCCCATTAGCCAGGGGCCCGGGTAGTACCATCCACGGGTCACAGATATGAAGGGGTGCATACTTGGATGTGACCCCACACCTTGTCTTACCTGGGCAAAATCTCACCTGCTTCCAACCTCAGTGCTCCAGATGCAAATTCTACACTCAGATTTCACGGGATTGGTGTAAAATGGCTCATTATGCTTTCTGTTTTGTTGGGCTGAGAAGAAAGGGAACCACGGGTCTGTATATCGAGTGGAAAATGCCTGTGAAGGACGGAAAGGAAGACAGGGCAAGTAGCTGAACTGTGACTTTTGTTATCACTGCAAAAGACTCATTTTCCTCTTCTAAAAAAATAAAAATTAAAATTAAAAAAAGCCCAAGTAAATAGGATAAATAGTAGACAGCAGAACACTGTCAAATTTCATCTCAATTGCTGCATTCAGTGATACTGAAGAAAGGGAATTTCAAGGTTTTATTACACCTCCCCTGCACACCCAACTGCTCCTGAAACGGGGTACAGTCTCCCCTTTCTTTCCCTCAGCAAACTTTCCTGATTAGTTTCTGTCTTCACATCCAGGCTGACTTCTGCGCTCTGGTTTCAAACAGTGACCTCATTGCGTTGTTCAGCTGGTGAGAAACTACAGTAAAATGGGAGAGGTAAACAAAGGGGGGGAGCTAACAGCCTGAAGATTTAAGAGGCAGGAGTCTGCTCCTCACCATCCTACTCCCATTGTGCACCTGAGCTTGAGAAAGTGCAAGTTCAGCCTCGACAAGTGCTTTTCTGTGCTGGTTCCTCTGGAAACTCAGCCCAGCCCCACAGATGGTGCACACTGAGCTATGACTCAGGACAACCAGTATGCAAGCTGTGTGCCCACGTGTGCTTAGATCCATGCTCCTATCACTGCCACAGATCCCAGAGTTAACACAAAAATCCGTACATCTACTGCAGCAAGAGCTCCATGTCCCCTGGCCAACCAGCTCATCAAAACATAGGTGTTAAAAAACAGAGCCTATACTGTCACAGCACCAGATTTGTGACAGCTCACTGCAGTCAGCACTGAGACTATCGCCAGCTGAGCTGCAGCTCATGCTCACTGTGGTTAGAGCAATAACATTAACAGCACTCTGCCCAAGAGAATGTCAGTGTCACTGCATACTGCAGTCTCCAGTACCGTTTCTGGATGTGTCTTGAAGTCTCATACTGATCCTGACAGACACCTCCAGGCCCCAGCCAGCAGCAGCTTGGCTTACATTTGTCTTCCCAGACACTCAGCAAACACTTTTGTGTCTTTTTTCTTTAGAGGAAGGGGTCTCACTGAGCTCACCCTGAAATATATCATCACAGACAAAAGGGCTGAAAGGTTAAGGAGCTCCAGGGGGGCATGCAGCAGAGCTGGGGGGCAGGCGCCTGCCAGAACCAACACTATAAAGGCAAAGAGGGGACGGCACTCACAGAGGCTACAGATCCTGTCTCACCTCCCGTAAGCCCCCAAATAAAGAGAAGATGCTGGGGCTCCCAGCGTGGCCCTGCTCGCTTTTCCTCCTCCTAGTTCTGCTCTCTGCCAGCGTACAAGCGATGTCCTCATCAGGACAAAGGCTCCAGGTAGGAGGGACTGGGATGGAGCTGAAGGAAGCTTTGGGAGTGGCAGGGGCAATTTGGGGAGGTTGTGTTTGAACATGGCGTGAGTGGTAACCCAACATCCCAGCTCCCAAGGGCTGCTCCCTCCCTTTCAGTCCAACAGCCTCAGCTCTAGGCTGACTGTGTCTTTACAAGCCGGCTCCTTGGGGAGTTGCCAACATTTCAAGGCAGGAGTCAGGCAGCAGCCTTTTAGTGAGTGCTCCTGGCTGTGGGTCTCTTCAGAGGCTTCTGGCTGCAAGGAGAACAGTCCTATCTTATTGAGTCCTGTGGCAATAGCCTCCTAAAGTTACAGTCCCGTCCTCTGCAGGGCGAAGGGCTTTTTGTTTTGTTAAATCTTTGTTAAATCTTTTAACTTCATCAATCGCAGAAACAATATTTATGGCTTTTAAATCAACCCAGCTTCCTTGTCCTCAAGCCCTAACCCAAGCCCCAGCACTGCCTACACATCAGCTACTCTGTCCAAAGAGAAAGCTACAGGGAAGCAGCTAGGATGTGAAGTAAAAACGCAGGACTGACTCCGCTATGACTCACCATGGAGACACTTTCACTCCTCTCTGAAGATGCCTGTGTCTGCTTCTATTAACTCACTGCTGGAGAGGACCGAGCTAAATTGTATAAAGGCATCCTCAGCCATAGCAAGCATCCATGTGATGCACAGGCGTGGAATAGCCACTGCAGGCTGCTGCCATGGGCAGCAGTAGTGTGCCCCCAGGGTACCTGCTGAGCCATCTCCCTGCCGCTGGAGGATGCCATGTGATGGAGCCGTGTAATTAAATTAGAGCATGCCTGCCTGCACAGAAAGTATGGAGACTTCCCAGCAGATGGGGAGCCTGCCTTCCTTAGGCCCATTATGATACTTGACTGCTTTATGGTAATGGTTCCTCTGTGAGATTGCCCTCTGGAAAAAAAGAAACGTGGCGAAACACTCTGAAGCGCACAGAACTCAGCTTCACCAGGAACAAGGGCTGATGCCTCCATTATTTTCCAAGTATGGAGAGAACTATCTGATAGCAGCAAGGCAAGGAACAGAGGCAGTAATACCCACAGCATTCCTTCCTGTTCTTTGGGCAGCAAAATCAGCTAAGGCTGGGTAGCTGCAGGCCCAGCCTTCCTTCAGTGTCCTTGGTCTGGATGCAAGGTCACAGGCATGGGGCCTTCTGCACAGGCATCATTTTATGTCTTGCCCAAGTCTGAGGGAAGGAGAGGGAGAGTGGGACAGTGGGCTGGGGTACAGGAGCATGGGCAATCCACCCTCACCCATCTCCTCCATTTATCCCTATGTCTCAGGTGCTCCTTTCCCATCTGCTGCCCTCGGACTCCGAATCCTTGCCGGCCGAGGAGGACATGAAAGAGGGGTCCAGCTCTGAGCCACAGCTGCTCTCCCCCCCACTGCCGCTCCTCCTGTCCGGGGCCCGAGCTGTGCATCCCCTGCACTGGCGCAAGGCCCTCGCCAGTCGCAAGAGAGCTCTCTCTGGAGACTGGGCCTGGAAGGCCGTGCCCCGGGGCTGCTTTGGGCTGAAAATGGACCGCATTGGGGCCTTCAGCGGGTTGGGCTGTTAGCCTGGAGAGACTGGAGGTGAGGGGGCCAGCAGCGAGGGCCCGGTAAAGCGGGCAGGCACCAGGGCACAGATGGCAGGGAGCACTCGGAGCGAGGGCGGCAGGAGGCCGGCCCGGGCGGCTCACCGGCCTTGCTTGTTCGCAGGCAGAGACCAGGCGTGTGGAGAGCCGGCCCGGGACGAGACCCAGCTCGGGACAGGACGGGATGGAGCAGGCAGCAGCGGGAGCCCCGAGGGCAGGGCGGGAAGCCGCGCCGCGCCGAGGATTCGCGAATTAAACCGAGCCGTGTGAACCTTCGTGTCGGAGCTCGCGCCAGACGCGCCCGCAGCGCTAAAGGGCTGCTGGGGCGCGCGACCCTCACCGCACCCGCCGGGAGATGGCGGCAAAGTCCGCGGCACGGCGCGGCCCCCACGCGCGGGGCCATTTTGGGTGCCGCCGCCATTCCGGGTGGGCCGGGCGGCACGCGCGTGCGGGGCCCGGCGTTGCGGAGGAGGAGCGGGGGAGGATGGGAGGCCGACACATCGATCGCGGCCTCGGGGCCGCCGCGTTGTCTCGTTCTGCCACGCTCTGCCCCTCGGCCGCTGCCGTGTTTGCCGAGCAAACAGAGGGCCTCCGCGCGCCCTGCCAGCCCTGACCCCGCGACGTGCGGGGGCTCCCCCAGCCCCGGGATCGCACCCCCGGCCACCCGACGGGGCCGCACCGCCGCCTCCCCTGGCCTTTAAGAAAAGGTCGTAACCTCAGGCTGGGGCTAAACTTAGCCACTGCCCCTCGGTGCACCGGGAATAACAGCTATAGAAGGAGAGTTGGGTTACGGGAGCTGCGTGACCCCTCGCTCGGGCCCCCCCCCCCTCGGTATCCTCCGTCCCCGCCCTTGGAGCCGGAGTCGAAACGGGAGCCCGCCTCACTCCTCCACGTTCCCCTCCCGCACCTTCCTCCCGCCGGGCACCCGGCTCCAGGTACCCGCTCCATCCCACGGGATGGAGGCTTTCAAACTAGGACGGCTCCATCCCGCGGCCCCTCGGTTTAGGTCGCACGAGCCCCGCTGCCCCGCGGCGGATAGCACCAAGCCGGGCGGCCCAGCAGTAGCACGCGGGGACCGCTCCTTCCCCACACACCAGGCCCGGCTGCCAGGCGCAGGCGTGCCGAGGCGGGAGCGGCACGACAGCAGCTTGAGGCGACGGGAGGATATCCGCCGTCACGTCCCAAGAGCAGCGGGATGCTGCGGTTTCTCATTAGCATGGTCCTCACGCTGCGCCGCACGGCCTGCTGGGCCGGGCGGGGAGCCTCAGAGCGGGGCCGGCGGACGGCCCTATCCCGCCGGTTTCACGGCGCGGGGGATGGATGTGGGACCCAGCGCACCCCACCAGCTCGGGGTGCGCGGCCAACACGTGCGAGGGCTGAGGAAGGGGAGCGGGCAGGCCGCAGCCTCGCACGGCGCTCTGTTGCTCCCACGGCCGCGCATCGCTCTGTGGGTATCCGCAGCGGCGCAGCCTGCACCCGCCGTACCGCATCGCGTGCTGCAGCCGCATCGCCCCAGCCTCACCCGGGGACACCACGGCCCCACGTGGGGCTTCGTCTCGCAAGCAACTCCGCACCCCCCGGCCCCGGGGCACCCCTCGCCGCCCCCACCCCGCACAGGCACCGTTGTACGGCATCAATCCCCCCTCCCCAAGCCCACCCTCGGCCCAACGGCCGCCCTTTGTTGCGAGGGGGGGGGGGTGGGGGGGGGGGGGGCCGCCTCGCCTGCACCGTGCGCGCACGTAGCCCCGGCCCGGCCTCCGCGCTGTCATTCGACGCCGGCCCGGCTGGGCGGGGCTCGGGGAGCTGCCTCCGTGTCTATAAAGGGCGGCGGCGCGGCACTGCGCCACCTTCTCACTGCGCGCTGGGGCCGTTGACGTGCAGCAGGTAACGGGTGGAGGGGGGGGGCATGGGGGAGAAGACCCCCACCCTCATCTCACCCACCCGCCTGTCTGCCTGCACCCCTCCGTAGGGTTGGGGCTGTAGGACCGGGGGGAGGGGGTCTCTGCGCAGGGCCGCGTGGTGCCCGGGGCACAAAGGCGGGGGCGGGCGGCACAAGATGGAGGCGGTGGGGGTGGGGGTGGGGGAGAGGGGGAGAACTGCGGGGAAGAGAGCTCGATGGGGATGAAGGAAGGGATGGCGGGTTGGGGGGCGGTTCCCAGCGCTCCGCAGTGCGCGGTGGGAGGACATTACCGGACTGGCGGTCTGCGTGCAGCGCCTCACGTCTCACCGTCGGTCTCTCCCCGCAGGAACACTATAAAGGCGAGATGGTGAAAGTCGGAGTCAACGGGTGAGTGCGGAGCCGAGCCGGGAGGCGCCGGGTGGGGCGGGGTCGCGGAGATGTACGTGCCCGTGGGGGGGGGGAGGGCAAGGTCGCCTGAAGGGCGGGGGGGCATCCCGATGGTGTTGCACCGAGACCCCCCTCAGCACTGGCGGGAATAACGGCCCCGCGTGGCGGTGCTGAGTCACTTCCCCGCAGAGTCGGGGTGAGTCACCCCGGAAGCGCCGGCGCCTCCCGCGTGCCCCATCGGAGGGTCTCCCGGCCCCATCGGGGCTCCTCCGCGTCCCATCGGTGGGCCGGGGCCAGCCGGTAACCGAGGAAAGGTCGCCTGGTGGATCGTGTGTCTGCGGGTGCCCCGGGAATGTGACCTTCTCCCACCCCACCGAGGAGTAACCAGATCCCCGGAGCCTTTAGTAAATTTAGCGCCTGACCTTTGTGGTGTGGGTGCCCTGGCCGGGGGTCGCTCTTAATCTTTAACCACGGCTCCTCGGCCTTTGGCCGCTGCTCTTCGACTCCCTCTGGGCAGTGATTCACAGATGCTCTGGGGGAAAGCAGTGAATAGGCTCAGCCATGTCCAGCTGGGCGTGTTCCTCACTGCTTCTCCTCACCCACCTCTCTGTTTCTCCCCAGATTTGGCCGTATTGGCCGCCTGGTCACCAGGGCTGCCATCCTTTCTGGCAAAGTCCAAGTGGTGGCCATCAATGATCCCTTCATCGATCTGAACTACATGGTGAGTTGTCTTGCAGTGCCCCCTCTGGGCACCACGTGCATCTTGCCTAGAATGGTTCAGCGGAGCCAGAGGCTCACCCAGCTCTGCTCCCCTTGGAAACCTGGCATAGGCTTGCAGGAAGGTTAAGAAGCAGGAACGTGGCATAGTGGTGCAGACCTTGGAGACTGGTTAGAGCAAAATACAGACCAGCAGTTAGACAAGGTCACTGAGAAGGTGGAGAGTTGAGATTGTGATGGGAGCATTTCATCTAGAATGCCTGATCTTTCCTCTCTCCCTGCTAGGTTTACATGTTCAAATATGATTCTACACATGGACACTTCAAGGGCACTGTTAAGGCTGAGAATGGGAAACTTGTGATTAATGGGCATGCCATCAGTATCTTCCAGGAGTGAGTAGCTTTCTCCTCTTGCTGCTCCGGAGGATGAAAGTAAGTGCCCTCCAGAGTAACTGTCATGGTTTTGTCCCTCCTCAGGCGTGACCCCAGCAACATCAAGTGGGCAGATGCAGGTGCTGAGTATGTTGTGGAGTCCACTGGTGTCTTCACCACCATGGAGAAGGCTGGGGTAAGTAGGCCACTGTGGCCCATGGGAAAAGGGTTGCTGGTGCTTATTTTTGTGGGGCACATCTTTATCTGTTGGGGCATTCTGGGTTATTTAATTTATTTATTTATTTATTTATTTTTAGGCTCATCTGAAGGGTGGTGCTAAGCGTGTTATCATCTCAGCTCCCTCAGCTGATGCTCCCATGTTTGTGATGGGTGTCAACCATGAGAAATATGACAAGTCCCTGAAAATTGTCAGGTAAGGAAGAAGAATGCTCCCTTATTGCACATATATACATGTGTTGTATGTGGCTGATTTGCGTTCTTTCTTCCTCAGCAATGCCTCGTGCACCACCAACTGCCTGGCACCCTTGGCCAAGGTCATCCATGACAACTTCGGCATTGTGGAGGGTCTTATGGTAGGTCTGGAGCTTGATGCTCAGGAAGATGCTCTGCCCCCAGGTCCCTCATGTGAAGAAAAGCATCCATATGCAGTGCTTCCATTTGGCTTGGGAGGATGGGGGTGCTGTGGATGCTTTCTCTGGAGAAAATGACTGATGTCTTACTTTGGTGCTCTTTTTCCCCAGACCACTGTCCATGCCATCACAGCCACACAGAAAACGGTGGATGGCCCCTCTGGGAAGTTGTGGAGGGATGGCAGAGGTGCTGCCCAGAACATCATCCCAGCATCCACTGGAGCTGCTAAGGCTGTGGGGAAAGTCATCCCTGAGCTCAATGGGTGAGCATTGTCTGTCTTTCTGTGTCAGAAGGAGGTAGGAGCCAGTGCTGGCTCCTGACTGGCTCAAACATTTTTGTAGTGGAACAGTGCTGGTAGAGGGATGCTTATGCTGTTCCTTGCTGACATATTTTTTCTAGGAAGCTTACTGGAATGGCTTTCCGTGTGCCAACCCCCAATGTCTCTGTTGTTGACCTGACTTGCCGTCTGGAGAAACCAGTAAGTGTTGTGGGAAAAGCTTAAAACTCTTCAGGCTTGCCTCTTAAATTCTTCATACCTGGAATTTTGCCCTTCTACATCCCTTCGTTTAATAGAAAAATTGTTTTTGCTGAAAGTAGCACCTGATATGCGTGGCTTAGTTACATGGTTCCCTGTGTCCGGCTGTAGCTGACACTTGGAGATGGGATTTGACGATCTTCTGCTTTTTTTTCAGGCCAAATATGATGACATCAAGAGGGTAGTGAAGGCTGCTGCTGATGGGCCCCTCAAGGGCATCCTAGGATACACAGAGGACCAGGTAAGTAGTTTCTGTGTAGGTGTTACTTGCCTCACTTTTCTGATGGTGGCAGTGTTGCTGGGATGATGATTTGTGATTCAGGCTGCTACCATCTATTGGGTGGAAGAGTGCTTGAAAGTGCCTCTCTGTTCCAGGTTGTCTCCTGTGACTTCAATGGTGACAGCCATTCCTCCACTTTTGATGCTGGTGCTGGCATTGCACTGAATGACCATTTCGTCAAGCTTGTTTCCTGGTATGCACAGCCTCAGGATGTGGGGGGAACTGGGAGGTAGAGACTGGCAGTTCTGGAGCAGTTCTGTGCTGTTTCATTTCATCAGCACCATCTGACAGTGCATGGCAACACAGTTCCCTGCTGAGTTCAGGTGGCTCTAGCATGTGACAGTCTCTAGTGAGATGTATCTGAAATGGCTGCTGCTGCTTTCCTGTAATGGAGGGCAGATGAGATGCTGCCTACTTTGTAAGGAGTGGATGGGAAGCCTTCCATTCAGTTGTATGGGCTGGGGCTGGAAGAGTAGTAACATGAAAAGGGATACGAGGAACGGGTCAGTGCTGACAGCACTTCTGTTTCCCTTCTCAGGTATGACAATGAGTTTGGATACAGCAACCGTGTTGTGGACTTGATGGTCCACATGGCATCCAAGGAGTGAGCCAGGCACACAGCCCCCCCTGCTGCCTAGGGAAGCAGGACCCTTTGTTGGAGCCCCTTGCTCTTCACCACCGCTCAGTTCTGCATCCTGCAGTGAGAGGCCAGTTCTGTTCCCTTCTGTCTCCCCCACTCCTCCAATTTCTTCCTCAGCCTGGGGGAGGTGGGAGAGGCTGATAGAAACTGATCTGTTTGTGTACCACCTTACATCAATAAAAGTGTTCACCATCTGAAGTGCTTTGTTCGTATGTCATTGGGAAGCAAAAAGGAATTCATCAAATGTTTTAAGATGGCCCAGCTAGCCCGTAATTGCTGGGCCAGCAACTCCAGCCAGTGCTCTGCAGTGTTTCATGCTTGGTGGCTCTACTGACAGCATGTTGAAGCTGTGAGACCTGGCATCAGGTGCTGGTGTTTGGACAACTCTGGTTGTGCAGAAGCATGGAGCTGTCCTGGCACCTATGATTGATAAAAACAGAAGTGCCCAGCTCCACTGATTGCAAAGCTGCTGTGCATGGAGCTCTGGTATGCCTGCTGGCAAGGGAGGGACTCCTACCCTTGAGCCAAAAGGTGTGGAGGGCTGTGACTGGAAGACTGCTGTGTGATGGAATGGAAAGCAGCAGTTCTTTATCCACCTTCCAGCTCTGGATTTTCTTGTCTGATGGGTGTGTGCAGAATAAAGTGCTGAGGAGTGATTTTTGCATTTTAACTGGGTAAAATGGCACAAAACCCAGGATTTTTTTTTTTTTTTTTAATTTCCCCTTCCTTATTAGGGATGCTACAAAGAGAACTATTCAATTACGCAGCTGACAATAAATCACCCTGGAAGAAATGGCTGCCTCAGGCCTTGTGTTCTGTGGGGGCTAGAATTAAGCATGGTCCTGACTGCAGAAGGAGTAGCAGCTGTAGTCAGGCTCCTGAGCAGCAAATCTCTGCAAGGATCAGCCCTCTGCCAGGAGCTGCAAGCACTGCCATGCTGCAGGCCTGGAGCCTACCCTGGCTGATGAGTGGTAGGGGTAGATAAGCAGTTCACTACCACCAAAAACCGTTGGGCTCTTCCTTTGTTTTTCATCACTACTGAGGCTGAGAGCTGCATCAGAGATGCAGCATTGCTCTCTGCAGGAGGCAGGTTGCAGCTACTTTCACAGTCTGACCTGGGGCAAGGACTGAGGCTGAAGGCTCTCCCATGGCCGAGACGTGAGAAACATGGGACAGTCTTCTGGAGCTGCTTATCTCTGACGGTAGAGCTGTGTGGTGTGAAAGCCAGACATTCACTGCGCTAGAGGGAGATGACTCAGAGTTGCTTTCCTCAGAGGAAATAGGTTGCATAACCTGTCTCTGGACTTACAGTACGAACAGCTCATTAGCTCTGGGATGGCCTCAATACCTGGCTTGCCCTCTAAATGTCCTGATAGGAGCTTTAGGTAATTCTGGAGTGCAACTGCAGCTGCTCTTCAGCTTTCAGCTGCTCTGGGGCTGGCCAGGGGCAGCCCTGCTGAGCAGGTGGGATGCTGCTGTGCAGCAGGCAGCCTACAGCCCTGCCAGGCTAACAAAGCGCCCTGTGTGGGTCCCATCCTGGCTATAATTGCTCTGCTTGGTGCTTTGAATGGCTGTCCTGTGTGCTGCTGCCTGCATAGCTGTGTGCATGCCAGCGAGATCCTTGTGTGATGAGAAGTGCTGAGAGGCTGCAGAAACACCAGATGCCCACAAGCAGGAACATTTAAAAGAATCACCTTTTTCATCTAGGAAGACTTATGTTTCCTGAGCAGTCTACAGCTGCCTGAAAAATGCAGTGAACTCACGCTGTTCATCAGCAAAGCCCTATCAAATTGCTGTGGGAGTGGGGGGCAAATTTATACAAGCTGGGGGGCAGGGAGTGGAGGCAGAGTACCCGTTGTTGTGAGAAACAATTGCTGTGAATGTTTTGGGTATAACGGTTCATTCTGTTTTCATTAAAGCGCTGTTCCAACCCATTCACACTCTTGCCGGATGTTCCTGTAAGAAGGATGCGGGGCAGCGAGGCAGAACAAGCAGGGAGCCGCAGAACTAACAGCGCGGTAGCTCAGGTGTGGAAGCAGTGGGAGGGCGCTTGGCCAAACAAACTGCGCAGCCCTCTGGGGGCTCGGTGCCCTCCCTCTCCCCATCAGCCCCGAGCACCTTCCCCTGAGTCCCGACGAGTTTGCAGCCAGTCGCTGCACCTGCAGATGGCACCACAGCAAGGAGACGGGCAGCAGAGCTGTGCCACCGCTGTGCCGCCCCGCCCAGGAGCTGCAGCCCTGTTCTAAAAATTGATCTAACAATAATAAAAATATATGCTATCATTCTGGAAGCTTGCCACCGGGATAAAGAAGGGAGTGCTGCTGTTGCAGCTGACTCTTCTCCCTGTAGCAGTTCTCGACTCAGCAGAGAAGTTCTGGATTTGCTCTTTGCACATTTTGAAGGAAAACTTGCAGAAAAGATCACTGGGGGCACAGGCCCTCCGGCTGGCATAAGGAGGCTCTGCCCAGCAGAAGAGCTGAAAGCAATGGTGCTGTCCTGCCAGGCCAAACCAGCTGTGAGAGCAGCTGCAGTCAGCCAGATCCCATGCTACTCTACGAGCGCCCAACGCAGCGCTCAGTGCTGCTTGGGGCTGTGCTGGCACAGCACAAGGGCCATACCTCAGAGTGGCAGCCAACTACATCCAGGGGTGCTCAGCTGCACCTTTTTGTCTTTTTGAAGGCAGAGAAAATTCAGAATGAAGCTTTTATAGAAAAAGCACTGCTTTTTTGGCAGTTTCAAATTTCAAGAGAGAATCTCATCGGCATTTGCATACCTTACCGTACATGCATTGCCTCCTAAGAAATGGCTGGGGTTGTTCTCAGACCTTCTCAAGATGTCAGCATGAAACTTCTTTAGCCTTAAGCAGAACATTATGTAGTGAAAACCATCTTGAGCAGACATTCAAACTAACTAATGCTACTGGAACGTCACACCAAAACGGAACAAAACAGCCACTACACAAGCACAGTAAAAAGTGCTGGACACCCACACATACTGTCCACTTGTAAAGTAAACCGTTTGCTGAGCACATCACTCCACATGGTACGTGCAAGGAAGATACAGGGCTCAGAGAGAAAAGACTGCGAGGCATGTATTGGACATTTGTACAAGACAAACACCTCCAATGACAGTGTTCCAAACTCATTGTAACAGATGCCTTTCACAAAGCACAGCTTCACAACCCAAAGTCACAGTATGCAAACAGCACTGCACACATGGCCACTTACAAAAGCAGACATTTTGGCAGAACCAACCTGCCCACATCGTGGCAGTCTTACTGCATCTACACCACAGAAACAAATTGTTTGTTGCTTGCTCTGTGAGCTGAAGATAATCTCTTACTGCAGGACAGCTAACTTACCTCCGTGTATTATCTTACTATAGCAGTGTCATCTTCTTGAGGAAATTATTTTCAATTATATGTACATCTCCTAGAAGAAACAATAAGTAATGCGTTATACTTTACTGCATAAGACTTGAATAGACACCCTTCAAAAAGCAATAGTTGTGGTCAAGTGAAAATAGAAGAATTCGTAAACAGTAGCAAATTAAATTTAAAAGAGACTAAGAGGGCAAGTTGTTAGAACACAATATGACAAAGGAAAAATAGTATTAAAATCTTTTTCAAATGCATCTCAGATGGAGTGGTATCAGATGAAGAAGACCGCAGTAGAAAAGTAAAAGAAATGCTTCTGTCAGCAGTAGGAGTATTCCCAGATAGGAGATTTTTTCCCAGCAGAGGTGAGGCAGAGACACCACTGCAGATTAAATGTTGGGACTTGCGGACGTGTCAGCGCCATGAGGAGCAGCAGTCTCTCAGTGCCATGTGTCAGTCTCAGATGGTCTTGGGCAGAGAATGGATGAGAGTTAATTCTTGTAATTCATCATACACCTCAGCCCCGACACCAAGGAGTAGGAATTTACAGATGTGATATAGATTTTAGAAAGGATCTTCAAGGAGTTCAGAAACCAACAATAACCATCAATTTCTCTGTATCAGAGAGCTGAAAGCCAGCACAAAGAGTCAGCAACTGGTTGGCGATGAATCAGTGGGCGAGTATCTGTGCTGCTTCCATGGCAAGAAATCATGCCTCCGAGACCTGCTTACACCTTTGGATGAATTCATCAATGTGATGCCAATAAGGGTAAGCTGTGTGTTGAAGAGCAACTGGATTTGGAAAAGACTGGCCAAACCCTCCAAAGGCAGTTTGCAGTCTCCAGATTTTAGTTACCGGGCTGAGTGCTGGTGCTGGACGCTGAGCACACCCAAAAATCTCACTGAATGCATGTGGCCTCCAGCTTCCCCATCTCCTTGTAGTCCCCATATGACTTTCTCAGCCTGCTTAAATGACCATCTACATAATCCTTGTGAGCAATAAGTTTCCTTCACCTGCTCTGAGGAACAAAACAGACCGAACTTTTCACTCTCCAAGCATTTTTCCTCAGCCTGGAATCAGAGTTAGGACTTTTTGCTCCCCCTGCTCCAAAATCTGATGTAAACAAGGACAAAAGACACCAATGCCACACATAAATAAAGATTCGTGAAGATCTCACTGGCTTCAGTGTCTGGCTGAGCAATCACCAAGATTGCTCTGACTTTCCAGAGCTCCTGTTGCCCCAGATATGGTCACGCACTATTATTTCTTGCTCTTAGATTTATAGCGTAGCTTAAACAAAGCCAATGCTTTAACTCAATTAAAAAAAATAGATCATGAAATTCTATTTCAATACATCTCAGCATTTTGATTCAGGCATTTACCCTTTATTAGACTCTTGGACTATCATCTCTACGTACAAAAAAATGCTAACAGACGGCTGTCAGCTCCTCGTCCCCCCATGTCTGTGCAGACTGTTCTCCCTTTCCTGATTTTCCATCTCCTGCCCACTGATTTCTCCCTGGTTTTCATATATGGGTTGGCAGGCTCATCACTTGTATCATTTGTTCACCTGTCCGCTCTTTTTTAAAGGACCTTTCCCCAGTTCACCTAGTTGACATTGGCAAACTGTGGATTCAGCAGCCAGCACTTTTCCATCACCAACAAGATCAGGGTGCTTTGTGAAACAGCATTTGCAAAAAAAGCAGCTAGAATGCTGTGCTTTTTCCCAGGATCATTCCTTCCATGGCCCCAACCATCCCCCCATGCTGTGGCCTGCTCACAGTAGCAGAGTAATCCGGGACACCCATGCCTGGAAATGAAGAGTGTTCCCCTGAGACAGTCCCATCAAGGATCCTCCTGCTAATGGCCCAGAAAGTGCTTCATCATTCCCCTGTGACTACATTCTGCTCTTTCCAAATACAGAACAGACACAGCTGACGAGTACTTCTTTTTTTTTTTTAAATCACAGTCAAGTAAATGGCTCGTATTACTGCTAGGATTGATTTTCCTTTAGATGTAGCTAGAACAATTTGTTAATCTCATTAGCGATCCACCTATGAATATTTATTATTGAGATCATCAGCCACTCACGTAACTATTTTTTATACATCTTAATTATTTCATCATCCCTGTATTCCTCCTTCTTCACGCACAGCCACTGCAGTTGTTACAAAGCTGATTTTATTTTTTATGAAGGTCTTTTAGAAATTGCTTCTAATAGTATTTTTTTCTATGATGTACTACTATCACATGGCCAGTTACTCAGGGAAATGTCTTACTGGAAGCTATCTTCTCACGCTTACTAAATCACTGCTTTTTGGATAACTGGAAAAACTCTCATCTTTCCAAGGGTCTCCCATTTAAATAACTTTCCTAATACTCCCCTTAGGAATTCCTCAGAAAAGGCTATATAGTATCATGCACTTCTGTATCACAATATGTTTGTCCTGGGCAATGGCTTGATTTGTTTGTCAATCCCTTGTCTTTAGGCAACCACCAATTCTAACTCAGTCTTCATCTATCATAAAGCCACCTAAAATCCTTGCCTTACTTGGACATGCCATCGTCTGTAACTTAATGAGAGGCTCCCCATGGCATAGCATATTCCTCAGTAATCCCAGCCAAAGTCTCCCATGACAACATAATTTTCCTTTTCACATGAAGCAGAGGTACTTCAGAAATAAATCACTGTGTTTTCTTCCATGATTCAGGATTAAATAAAAGACCCTTCAATGCCTTAACGAATATGTATGTCAGATCATACTGTTTTGCTATTAGCTCTAGAGGTAACACGATTTTTAGCACAGCTTGCAACCCCAATTCGTGTTTACACTTTCTTATTCCTCCTTTACCAATGGGTTACACCGGTGAGCTGGGATTTCTACAATGCAATGGTAAACTTCAGAAAAGCCAGTTAATCACATTTCTTCCTGTCCTGAGAGCTTCCAGTTCCTTTTGCGCATTGCCCAGATGTACAGTCTTTTGCGTAAGCCAAAACTGCTGCCTCCCTTCTCATTTGCTGTGACACTGGTTCAATTTGGTCACTGCAACTTTTAGTGGTTGCTCAGACTCCTCTCCTAGCGTTACCTTAGCATTCTCTCAGCTCTTTTGACTGCTCTCCAAGCTATGAAACCTATACCTCCTCTGCCAGAGGACATAGAGTGTTTTCTCCTTATTACCACCCTGAGACAAAATGTGTCAGTAGTCTAGAAAATTCAAATCTGAAACATTTCTTCTAGTCTCATACATCCTTCAGGTTTTCATTGGTGACTGGACCTCCCTAAAGCTGCCTCCAGCCCATTCAGCCCTCCTTGCTGCCTTACCATTTTTGCTGGCTTTAATTCCCATCAGTAGAGGTTTGCCAGCTGGTTTCATGAGCCCATCCATGCATCATACAGATGTGTTTCCAGCACCCCACTGTCTTCTACATTTATTCCGACCTCTCTTCACACAGGAGTGAAGCTCCTCACGTAGAAGACCTCAGCACGAGTATGCAGCACCTGTGCCAGCTCTTAGGTTGACTAGAACCTGCAGCTGGAAATCACAAGGCTACTGACACAGCTAGTGCTCTGGCAGAGGAGTCTCAGCTTTTAGCCCAGCTCTACCTGGACTGACTCAGCAGGAATTTAAAGGTGGCCTGCCATTTACTCTCTGCTGTTCTGCAGAGCTGGCTCACAGATCTCTCCTTAGAAAATAACCTACAATCATTTAAACATAGAAAGAGACTGGCCTTCAAGCTTTTGTAGCAGAGGTATAAAGCTTAGGAAAGACAGTCTCCTGGTTTGAATCTAGAAATAACAGTAAGCTTCTGTACAGCTTTCATCACTCCCATCTTCCTGGCTTAGAAACAAGATAAATACAATACTGAAGAGGTTACCAGGAAGTCACACAAGCTGCCCTAGTGATGGTTGTTAGCATCTCATTCAGGTCCATCTAAGGAATTCACACAAGGCTCACGTGGGGCAGGAACAAAGAGCCTTCAGAGTGATGCTGGGGGGGAGGTGTGGGACAGCAGTCGAACTGACAAAATTGGATTCTTTCTGTTCTGAGATTGATTTAAAATGGATGGGACTCAGGAACAAGTAAAAGGAGGGAGAAAACTCAGGAAAAATTACCCAGGCTATATAGTGTCTGGGTGACTGAACCCTTTCTAGAGCTTGTAAGAATATTCCAAATTCATGCAATGAGGCACGAGGAGGGTGATGCTCCCTGACCTCTCAGAGGCCCACCTTGGCAGCCAGGATTCTTTGAGATGAGAATTCCCCTTTCAGACAAAATAGGGAAGGGGGAAGAGAGGCTGCTCTGCATGCCACAGAATCAGAAACCTTCAGCAAGGGGCATTCATTTCAGCCTTACAGCAAAATGCCTGGCATTATCTGCTGAAGGCCTTTGCCAAGAGGCTGATCTCATACAGTACAGCAGCCAAGGCAGAGAACTGCCTCTCACTCCAGCCCAAAGACTGGCAGTGTCCCCTGGTGCCTGATGGAGGCAGGATGCTGGCAAATAAATATGTCCCAGCCTTTGCATCAAGGGGGAGAACCTCAATAGAAGTTTAGAGATGAGACTCCAAAAAGGATGGTCTTCAACAGGCAGTCACACAGCTGACCAGACAGAGGTCACATCTGTAGAGTCCTGAGATAGATGCTGACAGAGGGACTGACAGATACCTTGTGCCATGGGACTTCATTCATCAAGACACATCCTGCTTGGACTGCACTTGGGCAATAAGCATTCACATTAATGCATGGATGCTGCAACAGGACTTTGTTCCTTGCTTTCCAAGGGCCGCTGTGGTGCAGTAAGGACCAGACTAGGCTCAGCAGCAACATCTTCCCAGGTCAGTTGGAAAGAGCAGCTGACTTGCTCCTTCAACATTCATTTCATCAACTTACCTGCCAGCTCCAGGATAGGAAAAGGTCCCCTCCCCATCCACTGACAAGATGCCCCTGAAACCAAGACTTTGAGAAAGATAAGGCCAACCAAAGGTTTTGAATGAGTTGTAGACTGAGGGTAAATATGACATGCGATCATCCCTTGGGAGATGACTGCAGAAATTCACAAAGACCAACCAGCCAAGATCTGGGTCTCCAGACATTTTCTTCTGATTCTGTTTCCTGAGCCAGTGCTGCTGCAAGGTTTCCTGGAAGAGGAATAAGTTTGGGGCATCAAGAATCAACATGGTGTCGAACAGTTCCTAGACACCATGGCTCCTAGCAGAGCTCATGCCAAAGAAAAACAGACTAAATATTCCTCAAAGAACAGAGAAGAGCCTACAGAGTAGAGTTCATAGAACTAGAGTTCTAATAAATAAATAGAATTCTAATAAATAGGACACATCTCCTCATATCCAGTATCAAATACATGGGGTCAGCACTGGGGGATAGGCTGAGATACAGGAGATGGTCCAACTACCACTGGAGACTTTGGGCTGTCGTTCCCATGCTGAGAAATGGCTGAGGCAAAGAATCAGCACTGCACATGCCACCAGTAGGATCTCATGGGTTTTCATCCTCCTGATGGAGAACAGAGCCTATTACTACCAATACAATTCACCACCTTGCAGAAACATGTAGATGGGATCTCAGCTTCACAGCAAAAGGAATTCTGATCCACAGTGTGGGACTGGGATCCCCATGTGCCCTGGCACACAGGTGTCTGACAGCACCAGGTGATCATCTGAACAGTTACTTCTAGAGATAGAGATGTTGGTGTGTCTGTACTTCATGCTTGAAATCTTTCAGCATACATACTGTACAGTCCTTTTGTTTTCTTAAGAAGCATGGACAGAACAGAAGCCAAGATATGCAGGTCATAGATTATGCAGGGGGAGAGACGGATTTCTCCTGACAGGCAGAGATCTCCACATAAGAGAAAGGGCAGAAAATGGTGCAAGGAAACACATGGGAAAGGAGATTTGTATAAACCAAAAGAGCCTTCAGGCAGGAAGGAAAGTGATCCCTGAGCTACTGTATGTGAGGCAACATCACTCAAAATAAAAAATATCGGATGAAAATATGTGCCCTGTTTTTTGTTCTTCTAGAAAGCCAAATTCAAAGGGAAAAGAAATAGAAAGAAGCAGGAAAGATGTATCAAACCAGACAGTTTACCTACACTGAAACACCAACATGTGCTGCAGTGTGTCTTGCAAGCACATGGAGAGGACCTCACCCTGCTTAAATGCCGAACTGCATCACAACACACAGATATGCAGGTGCTCTGCTAAGCACAGCAGCAGTTAATTACACAAACCAATCTAGATAAACTGTTGCCTCACGCAGCCCCCATTTTTATCTACCTTACCTAATCTTACAAGTGATCCAAAAAACTTATACTGTGATCTACTTTTTGATCTACTTTTACCTTCCCTCCAGGACATTTTGCAAGAAGTGTTTTTCTCTGGAGCTTCACATCTTTTTGCTGAGCAGCCCATGTCTGCTGGTTTGCAGACAGCCCTACAAAACAGTCTCTCTGCAGGACACCTCTCCCATCTTACCGGATCCAAAGATCCCAATAATAATGGGTAAGGGCAAAGCCCACACAGGCTACAAGAGATGGCAGTTCAGGGATACTGTGGTGATATCTAGGTTGGATACAGAACTGAGGATGAGTAAGGAGACGTTCCAGACACCTTGGCAAAAAGCTGACCTGGCAGAAACCAAGCTCTTAGACAGGAAGGTCTGCTAGGCACAAACCACGTTCAGCTTAGTTTCCTCTAGGAACTGAAATTGTCCCAGTATCACAGCGCTGCTTAGTCATTCCCCCATCAACTAATCTCAGCCTGTTAACCAAACTTTTTCTGCAGTTGGGTTTTTTTTGATATTTTAAAATGCAAAGCAGGAGAAAGCTTGAGTGAGAATGCTGGCCTGCAGTGAAGGGGTGCAGACACATTGAAGGAAAGTGCCGTAGCGTCAGTGCAGATAAAACAATTGGGTTCACGTTTATTTTTAGCCCAGAGCTTGGCCCACGCAGTACCAGCATTACATGCAGCCCTTGGAGGGCCTGTAACTGCCAGAAGAGGAATCTCACCACCAGCACCTTCTGAGGGATGGAGCACCCTGCAGGCCATGCTGCAGCGGGCCTGCTGTGGGGATGGGCAATGGAGCCCTGCTTCCAGCAGTATAGCCCAACACCTGCTGCAGCCCAGTGAGAGCCCACACCTGTAGGAGCTGTAGAAAAGGCATCAGTCCCGTTTAATGATTCCTGGTCTCTGTAACAAATGTGCTGCTGACGCGCAGCAAAGCAAAGTGCATGGTGAGCGGGACTTGGTCCCTGCTCCGAAGGAGGGGAGAGTGGTGGGGCCTGGCACAGCTCCAGGGCCACCCCAGTGCCTGGGGAGCAGCAAGGATGGGAAGAGCCCCAGGCTCGGTCCAGTTGGCACCAGGGTCAGGTCCAGTTTGCAGGGAGGTACAGCTCGAGTTCGGCTTCTGCATGGCGTGAGGAGGGCCAGGGGCAGGTCGGATATGCCAGGACAGAGTCTGGAGGAGGTTGTGTTTGGAGGACCTAGGACAGCCCCTGGAGAACACTGCTGAGGCAAGTTTGGGACCATCCTGCCTGAACCATGGTTAAACCAAAGCAGGGGAGAGGAACAGAGAAGGGGCCGGAGGTGAGCAGCCCGGACAGGTTTACCTAGCCATTTGCAAGACACCTGGTAGCAGGGGATCTGCCAGATGCCCCGAGGTGGGGGTGGGCCTGGCAACAAATGGTTACCAGCTGCTCCACATCCCTGACAGTCTCTCCCAGCTGCAGCTCAGACACCTCTCAGCCAGGAGTGGGGCGCTGAGGGAACAGGGCCTCCCCTCATTATCTGATGGAAGCATCGCTAGGGGGGTCACGATCCGACTCCTCACTCTCCTCATTGGGGGCTGACTCGCTGGTGGAGGCTGGGGTGAAGGCAGGAGACTTCCTGTAGAGAAGAATAAAGGCAGCAGTCACGGCACTGCTGAGGGGAAGGACAGAACACATCTGGTGGGCAGGGGGAAGGAGAAGCTAAAATACCCACCCTGTCTGGTCTGTGATCTGTCTCCTCCCCACATCACACCAGGACAGGGAGTACTGCTTCAGCTCCCACTCACCACCACACTGGCTCCAGGCCCTGCTCAGCACACAGGAGTCCTGGTCCTCCAAGCTCACCTGTCCCCAGACTGGGTGATGAGCCGCCGGCAAGTCTCCATCTGCACATCCAGACCTCGTTTCATGCTGCACATCTCCATGTACTCGTGCAGGTGCCGGTTCATATCATTCTTGGCCGTGGCCAGCTCCAGCTGCCAAAGGAAAGCAATGTGGAGATGAGCCTAAAGCATACTGCGATGCGGAGCATGGGGCACAGCCAGATATGAGGCTGCCATCCCACTGCTAACAAAACAACTGCACAACAGTTGGTTTCTCCCTCCTGCAGGAACCCACTCCCCCATTTCCCACCCTTCCTCCTTCCTGCACCTCTATTTGGTCGATGGTTTCCTGGTACTCCTTCTCACGGCTCTTAAACAACGACTCTGTGTCTTTGATCACCTTCTCCAGGCTGTCATCCTGCTGCTGAGGAGAACAGACAGCATGTTTAGAGGCAGAGAAGTATCCAACATGTGGAGCCAGAGGAAAGAGAGACAAATCAGAGAGAGAACTGGCAGCACTGAATTAAGAGGAAAAAGCTCACGAGCAGTATGGCCAGATGACAGACATGAGTCAGCCCTGCAAACATGAAGCAGAGAGATCTGAGATGTACCATACTGGACAGTAAGCACTACAGCCCAGAAAAATCACAGAAAAACCCAATAACTTCAGAGAGAACAACTAATATCCTGCACATAGACGGTGTTCAAGCACATGTTCCCAGAGGACCAACAAGGTCCAAAGGTGAAGACAGCAGAGCCTTTGGCCAGACTTTGTGGCCTCAGTTTGGGCAGTTGCTACCCCAGCAGTGGGCAAGGGCCATGAGAGCCCAGGGTGGCCAGAAGAGCCAGCTGGGTCTGGGGAACACATGAGAATGGGCCCAGGAGGGAGGAAAGGACTCTGAAGCTCAGCCACTGAACAAACACCTCCCAGGGCTCAAGCAGAACTGAGCACCCCAAACATCAAGTGCAAGCCCTGGGCTGAAACCAGAGAAAGCATGGCTCCACTGTTACCTCCCCCTGGACCTCTGCAGCTGCAATGGCGTATCCAGAGAAATCCTCCCAGAGGAGCAGTGTCTCTTCCGTTTCCTCCCACGTGAGGCTGTCACAGTCATCTTCAAAATCATATTCCCTCCTAGGGGCAAGGGGACAAGCATGTCAGCGCAATGCAGAAAAACTTTTGCCATGAGGACAGGCACAGCCCTGCCAAAGACCCTGCCCTGGCTTGCAGGGCGCTACAGCCCTCTGATGTCTGTTCCTAGGTGAGCTCAGGCATGCCCCAAACCAACAGCTGACGGGGAGGGGGCCAGCTTTATGGTCAACAGCCCCAAACTGAGGTAGTGACTCACAGAATCCAGGAGCAGTGGTGAGAAGAGGAACATGGCAGAGGGAAGATGGCTCAGCACTGCTCTCAGTGGCACAAGCCACCTGGGAGGGCATTACCATGCAAGTGAGAGCACAGTGGAACTGAAACAAGCCGTCTGGAGAAATACATCATCCCTGCTGTCCTTCAGAGGCTATGGGGTGGGAAGCAGGTTGGGAATACCCCAGGACAAGAGGGCAGGGCTACAGACAGCACTCAAGCACCAAAGCAGCATCCTCCCCAAGGCCATGGAGGGCTCAGGTGCTGGTCAGTCTCTCCTCAGCACAGCCACAGAGCACAGGGCATAAAGAGCAGCCCTGAAGGAGCTGCTACCTCAGCAATGCCCAGAAAGGAAAAGCAGCTGATTTCTCCCATCCCTTACTCCCCATCCACCAGCCTGCACAGCCAGGGCAACCAAGGAGAAGACCAGTGCCTGGCAGGGTGGAGAAAGCCAGAATGACCCACACCATCAGAAGGCCTGGTCAGGAGAACAGCCCACAGATATGGCACTGTTTTATAGCTAACAGCACAAAGCCACAGCCTGCAGCTAGGCTGGCCACACATCCACTTGTGTGGCAGAGCTCAGCGCTATGCTGCTTGAGGTGGTGTGGGGCTGCAAGGGGTCAGCTGGAGTGAGGCTAGGCCACACTCACAGCTGGTTCAGCATCCTCTGCATTTCCTCATTGATACTCATGGCTGTGGTCTCGTCCTCTTCTTCCTCATCAGGCTTTCTGGAGGCATCGCTCTCTGACAGTGAAGTATCTTCATCGCTGACCTGCTTCCGCTCCCGCTTCCGCCCCATCGAGGCTGGGACCTTAACGGGAGACAAGTGCAGAGACTACAGAAACGAGGCCGGGTCCGAGGTCAGGAGTAGGCAGTTGAGAGGAGATGGAGGGAGAAGGAATGACGGGGGACAGACAGACGGGGAATGAGAGAAAGAAAGAGAGGAAGGAAGAAAGAAAGAAAAGCGAGAGAGAGAGAGACGGGCTTATTATGATCAGGTTAAAGATGGTGCAATGGATAAAATATGGTTTTAGCGTTTTCTAAAATTAAAACTAAGCAACTAAAGATGGACTCTATGAATCTGATAAAAAAAACAATGTGATTTTATTGCAGAAGAACTCAAATCACCCACCACCCCAGACCAGAGACAGAGGGAAACACAGAGACAGGAAAAAAGAGACAGTCTAAAAAAAGTGAAGTATGTCAACATTTACAGTCATATAGAAAGCCTCATAGAAAGTTTATAATTTGTACAGTTTCTCAACTGAACGAAACTAACCAGTTGCTTCTGTAGGAAACAAATTAAGACAGAAATGCAGCAACATTCAGAAAGAGGAAAGAGACAGAGACAGAGAAGAGTGACAGAGAAGATGATGGAGAGGGGAAGGGGAAGGAGAGAGATGGAGTTAGAGACAGACACTGGAGCCACTTGTCTCCCTCCTGCAGCTGCTGCCCTACCGCTGTGGCATCCCAGGGCCCAACACTACACATCAGCAAGAGGTTGAAGGGACGTGATGCCCAAAGCAACACTTGGAGCTTTCCACTCTGCCTTTTCACCTGATGCTTCCAAAGGGCATCATTCAAGAGGAGACAGAGAGCAAGGGACCATAAGGAGCAAAGGGCAGGCGATAAATTGCCTCTCCTAGAGGGGTTATGTTGCTGCCTCTTCTACCTCCTTTGGGAACTCTCCTCCCCAGAGCTAGCTGCTGAGACTGGGACGGATGCATCTCACCTGAAACATCTTGATCATGTCCTCGCAGTTCCGCTGCTGTGCCACGTCACATAGCTTGGCAGTGATATCAATGCGCCGGCAGATGTCCATGTCCACCTTCATGGCCTTCTCCTGGATCTTGGTGTCCAGCTCTGTGATGTTCTGAACCCACAGTGGCCAGCATGGTGCCACAGAAAGGGGATAAAGGAGGAGAATTAGGCAAGGCACATGACATCAAAGCTCCCTTGTTCCCTTGGTAAAATAACTGCCTCCCAGGGCTATGGACTCACATTGCTCATCAGTCCCTTGAAGACAACAAGCTCTGCCTTGAGTTGTTCCACCTTCATGGCCAGTTCCTCCTGGCATGCTTCAGCCTCCTGGGCTTCCTGCTCCAGGGCAGAGGAAGGGGCACACGTTAGCCCCAGCAAGGGGCAGCAGGGAGCAGGGGAAGAGTGCAAGAGTGCTCACCTCCTGCAGCTCTGTGACTCGGTCCTGAAGCTGGACACGAACTGTATACTCCTCTTCCCACCTAGGGAGAGAAATGCACTGCTCAGATCTTGTGCCACAGGCTGCTGGAGAGAACAGACCAGCAGCTGCTCACTCCACAGCAACCCCAGAGGGAGCAAGGATGGCAGCAGTGCGGAAGGCAGAAATGTGTCTGGGAATATATTGCCATTTGTTTCTAGTTGGCCACAACTGCTAAACACCCATCAGCCCTCCTGGTCACAAACGCAGTCCCACAATGCTCTCTGCCAACCTTGCTTGAGGCCAGCCATGTCTCCCTGCTTTGTGGTAGGGGGAGCTGGGGACACCAACACAGCCCTGCACAGCAGCTGCTCTGCATGCCCTGCAGCCCACCAGCTGCTTTGGCCACCCACAGCCCCTTGGTCTTGGGTTATGTTCAGCCACAACACGTAGGAACGGGCTTTGGGTTTCTCTGCATACAGCAGAGCTGCACCCATCTACATTGTATTTGTGCAGTGCAGGTCGCCCAGAAGCATGGAACTCTATCTAATATCACGTTACATGGCCGTGCTGTACACTTCAATGTGAAGGTCAGAATGAAAAATATTGTTTTGTCCTGCAAGGAAGTGTGACAGATCATGCCTTTATATGCCAGTTTGCAGCATATTAGCCCACAGATAGATTGGACTGGATGGTGGGTGCTGCATTAGCCTATGCAGCTCTGCAGCAAGCCCATGCCAGTCTGCCTGTGCAGTCTGTCCAGACACATCGCCCCACAGTGGACCACACCATATTTCCCAGCCATGAGCTCATCACCTTGGGTTATGCTGCGGTGTTGGCCCAGCCCCTGTTTGGCTGGGAGGCCACCAGCTGCACAGCCGTTTGCTAAATGTTTGCTAAATGATGATCGCAGAGGGCAAATGGGCTGGTACGTGCCCCGCACCCACGGCTGTCCCACACAGTGCAGGACACTGCAGGACCACTGTGGTGCTGCTTCAGGCTCCTTGGAAAAGCAGAATGTCTCCGATAGAATAAAATTTGTCTGGAAAAGCAACAAGAGCCAGACCCTGCCTGTGCTGGGATCCCTGGTTTCTGCTTAACGCTTGCAAGCACCACTGACTCCAGCTTTTAAGGTTGTACAAGGACATGCAGAACTTCTCTCGCTTACAAGTGTGAAAAATAAATCCCCATGACTGGGAAACCAGAGAGCTCCTGAAAAGCCCTCACTCTCATCATTTTAAGGTATGAAGTTGATGCCACGATTTGGAGAGTCCTGAATCAGGCATTTTGAAGCTCTTATAGCTGGCAACGCTTCTCCTTATTCAGACAAGGAGAAAGCGTGCAGTCCTATCGTCGTGGGTTTCATCCCACAGCTTCAGAGGGGGAAGCAAAAGGGTTTTGCATCCCTTTGTGAGAAGAAAAAGACGAAGAGAGGGAAGGAGAAAGTTAAAAGGTGGGATTTTCCTTATATGGGAACCTCTCAAAAAAGGCCTCTGTCCCTGGGGAGAAGATGCATTCCACCACTGAAAAAAACTGTCAACGTCTTTCAGCATGGAGCTTACTCGCTCTGTTGGTCTCCACCTTCCTCTGGGCTCCGTACTGCCCAATCTGCCAAAGCTTTGGGAGAATTCATGCTACAAAAGACCAGTAGAGATCATGTAAATGCTGACTTAATGCCAAAAAGTAACAAGGATTCACGCTGTAAGAGATAAATAAGCACATCCATCCCTTACAAACCTCACTCTCTCAGGCTCATCTCCTGCCTGGCTCCGTTTCCCTGCTCCATCCTGCAATGCACCACTCCTAATTATAACCCAGCTGCATCACTGCACCCAGCCTGGAGAAGCCAGCAGTCTGCCAGGCTGATGCCACCTGGACCAAAGCTTTGCTGTTTGACGCCAGCTTGCAGCCACCCCACCCTGTCACCACAATGATGCCTGTCCCTCCCATGCCACCAGTCTGCCCAGAGGGAGAGGGCAGAGAGCACATTTCAGCAGCAGGCAAAGCCAGCCCTCCCCTACTCCCCCCCCCGCTAACCTCAGGCCACCAAAGTTGGGGACGTGACAAGTTCCTTTGCCAGAGCCACCTCTGCTCTCACACAGCAAAGGGGACGTCAGTGCTGGCCCATGGTGCGGGTACAGCACGGAAACGGGATCCTCCTCTGACATCCCCCATTTGGGACCCGGTGTAGGAGGGGGTCTGGGGGTGGGATCTGCTTTCTCCTGCCCCTAGTAACACTGTCCAAAAATAGATCCCCTCCAGTAACATTGGCCCGTGGCCTTCCTCACCGCCTGTCCCTAGCCAGCAGGATGCACCACAACCCACTCTTTCTTCTGCCCAGGCTTCAGCAGCACCAGCAGACTGCAGTCAGACACCCCAGCTAACACGCTCACAAACCCAAGAGGTGGTGGCATCCTAGTTGGGTATCTGACTACTGTCTCCCATCCTTCTTCAGAGCTCTCTGCTTTTCCCCTCCCAAAAGGTGGCCCCACTCTCTGCTCAGGTTGCCCTGACACGGCACTAGCTCCCTGCTATCTGATCTAAAAACACTGAGAAAGGAGAGTTGCCTGCCTTGCGGAAGGAACCCAAGCTGTGCTCAGTGAAAAGCCCTTAGGTGCACAGAAAAGCAGCGGCAATTAGGAAAAAAATGAGATGTCAATTCCCTTCTCATATGCCTCACTTGGTGCTTCAGAGCACCAGCTGTGCAGCAGGAGCATCTGCCCAGACAAAGCCTTACCAAGCCAGAAATGGAAGGTGTCATATTGGGTCCCAAGCCCCGACTTTAGCACCAGATCTCACATCTCCAAGGCACAGGGCACTAGTATGCTTCAAGTGCAACATTTTGCTCCTTCGGTTATTTAACAACGTACTTTACAAGTGTCCTACAACTTCACAGAGTGATCTCTCTCATCCCAAGTCGGTGAGCAGCCAGCAACCCACCCGCACTGCCTCAGGCCTTGCTCCAGCTGCTGACTGGTCCCATCCTGTGTGCTCTTCAGACAGCCTCACCAGCCAGCTTGGAGCAGAGTGCTCCAGGCACGGCACAGAGGATGCTCAGCCACAAGATCAGCGCGCCGGCACTGTGCCCTGCTCCAGAAGCGTGCCGTGCTGCAGCTATGGTGTTGCAGAACCCTGAAGAACAGGGTGCTCCTGTACCCATTGCCACCTGTGGCAGAGCCCTGGCAGCGATTTCTGGGTTGCGAAAGTGAGGGAAGAAGGAGAGGGCCTGGGGAGCCAGACCCCTGCATGCCTCCAGCTCCTCAGCACATCTGCACACACCCAGAGACCTCCTAGTGCCCTGACCTGTTCCGCTTCCTCACACTGCACCCTCACCTTTCTCACCCACTTGCCAGCTGCTCCTCTTTCCCCAACGCTTCCAGATGCCTTCCCTTTCAAAACCCTGGCTCCCAGCATCCTGCTATTTCTTCACACTCTGAGCCCCAGCCTGAAAAAGCGCTCGTGGTCCTCATGCCAGGCTGAGAAGCCAGAAGGCACAAGGTCAGCATCCCAAGAGGTCTCAAGAGGCAGAAGGTGAGCAATGGCCCGACTAGCACAGGACTGGACCAGATGCTCCCGACCCCAACCACCGACCGTGTGAACCTGAGGAGACCCAAACGCAGAGGGCTGCTCTCTGGGAGCACAATGACTCTCCACGCTCACGCCTTCCAGGGTCCGCGCTTGCGAGGCGAAGCCCGAGGTCCCGCTGCCAGCGCTTCCCCACCCGGAGCCCGCGGCCCGTCCCCCGCTCACCTGCGCTTGTACTCGTCGCGCTCCCGCTTCACCTTGGCCAGCACGTTATAGAGGGCGCGGATCTCGGGGGTGATGGTATCGATCTGAACGCCCACCCCGTCCGGGTGGATCCACGAGACCCCCGGCCCCTGCACCAGCGTGGTCTCCGGCCCCGGGCCCAGCCGCCGGGCCTGCGAGAAGGACCAGATGGTGCCGGGCATGAAGCGGGAGTTGGCCGCGAAGGGCGGCGGCTGGGCGGGGGCGCCGGGGTGGCAGCCCGGGGAGCCCAGCGGGCGGGCGGGCCCGCAGAGCGTGGCGGGGCGGCCAGCGGCCAGCGCCAGCCCCAGCGGGCGGATGGGCCCCACCAGGCCGGTCTGCACCGCCTGGTCGCGGCGCGGGGGGCCGCGGGCCCGGCCGCCCTCCTCCAGCGCCTGCTGCAGCTGCTTCTCCAGCTGCCGGTTGCGCCGCTCCAGCTCGTGGACCTTGGCCAGGAAGCAGCGGAACCGCAGGTTCAGCGTCTTCAGCACGCT